AAGCAGAACCTCCCGTGTTTCAGTTTGTGCCAATCGCCCCTGGTCCCATCACCAGGCACCACCGCAAAGAGCCCGGCTCTGCCTTCTTCACATCTTCCCTTCGAGTATTTGTATATATCAACAAGATCCCCCTGAGTCTTCTCTTCTCTTCCCCAGGCTCTGCAGCACAACGAGTCTAGGTCTGCAGGTCATTTAGATCGAGAGGCTGCGGATGGAGTGGGGCAGACAGAAGGACAAAACATCCAGCTCTGGGGTGCAACAGAAGTTGGCAACAACTATTTTCAACACAACCTCTCTGTACAACTGCACCGACATCTCCGCGCTCCCAGTCCTGTCATACGGGGAGATACCAAGAGGTCCAAAAGCAATTTGCGGGAGGCAAAATTCAAGAAAGAGCAAAATCTTTGACCCATCTGGATTTGGCAACTTAATTTGCCAAGTATCAGAAATCGAAGTTGGATCCTGGGTGCAAATTTTCTTAAAAGAAAAGCCTCCTGTCACTAAAGCAACCCAGGAAAGCACGTGAGGTCCTGCTCTGCTACATGCCAGGCAGCTTTTGGGAACCCTGAGTCACCAGAGCAGTTCTTTGCAGTGGAGGTGCCTGCAGTTGGTTTCCACTCTGCAGAGTTTTCTGGAAATAGTTTAGCAAGGCTCAGGGAAGACGGATGTTTTTTCCTGCTACTCCAACAGTTGGGGGATCTGGGCTGCAGGGATTTTTAACGCTTTGTTTTGACGTAGCAGGACAGAGTGGTGCCGCTGAGATGGGGAGGAGAACAGGGATGGCCCCCCCAGAAGTTTTCAGCTGCGGCTCAAGCCCTCAGGGATGTTACTGGAGTTTTTCAGAGGTGCTGGCACACCAGCACGTTTATTAATAGTGTGCAAAGGTCCAGGGCCTTCACCACACACCGAGGGAATTGGAAACTGGAACGTGGCCTGGGTGGCTCTGGGGGCTGGATCCAGAGAGGACTCTGGGGTTCACGGTACCCTTAGCTGCGAAAGAGCTGCCACAAAGTACACGTGGTCCTCAGAAGGTAAACCCTGACCACAGGAAAAAGACTTGCCAAACCACCCGAGGGCTAGTCCCTGGGCAGTCCAAGCTGCTGTCAGTTGTCACAAGAGACTGAGGCCAAAATACTCCTGCCAAGTTAATCACGTGCCACCTCCCTTCACGCACGTTCAGCCACCCCCAAGAGCCAAGCCCACCCTGGATGTGGTGAAACTTCCACAGGACACAGATATAACTGTAAGAAAAAAAACGAACCCACACCTCAGGCCAGAAACAGCCTCGAAAGCAGGAAGGTCTGGTGGTCGCCAGCAGCTGCCCTCCTGCAGCAAGTGAAGCGGCTGGATGTGCTGACCCACCTGGCTCAGGTGACAGAAGCTGCTCGATCGAGGGAGCAGAGCCTTCTCGTCTGTGCACGTGTGCTCGAGCTGTAGCATCCCTGTCCCCTTTCCCAGCCTGTGTCACAAAGGGGGAAGACCTCCTCTGCTCCCTCCCAGGGCGGGCAGTGCAGCGGGCTGGAGCAGAGCCTGGGCCAGCACGGGCTGGGAAGTTTCCCCACGGAGCTGCCCAAAGCGCTATTGTCCCTTCCAGTGACCTTGCGCACGCGCCGGCTGCTGCAGCCAAAGCACAGCACGGGAGCCTTTAAAAAAGCGCCGCTGATCTGTCGTTTTACACGCAAAGAGCTCGTCAGTGCCTCTACATTTTCCACATTTCCCCACCGCTTCCACCGGGGATGTCGGCAGGCTGATGCTCCGGCTCAGCACAGCTCCCTCCTGGCGGG